AATAAAATGAAGACAAATAAATGGCACCTATTAAGAACCAGAGATAATTACCTGAACTTTTCAACACTTGGCAAGTATATATGACCCAGAATAACAACGTCTAGGGATGTAAGGGAAAGCCTTTGCTTCCTGAGACACAATGAATCTGTGCCTTTCTTACTCTATAATATATATATATATTTTTTTCTATGGGAATCACTTTACATCGAATAGATGATAAATAATATTTTGAGCCTATATGACACAGTAGTTTTCAGAGCCCCCCAAAATATGCACTTTAATCTCTAACCTTTTTATAAATGCTAATTCATCTTCCAGATAATATCCATGTGATGTCAGTATAACTTATCAGACATAAATATATAAAAGATTAATGTACATGAAACTTAGTTACAGAAAAATTTGGCTATGAAAACTGAAGATTTATTTTTTTAAAAAGTTGATTTCTCATAAATGAAAACTTCTGGATAAGTTTTAAGTAAAGTCATCAGTAGGAGATGAATCTTAAGTCAACATACCCATATCATTTTGGTGGGGGAAAGGGAATCCAAATTTTTTAAGTATGTACTATGTTTCAGGTTATAGTAAATATTCTAGTTTTAAGTAAGCACTTTACAAACCTTATCTTATTTAGTAATCTCACCTTTTTTGAAATATGTGTTCATAAGTCTATTTTTAAAATGGAGAAATTAAAATTCAGAGAGCTTCAATAACTTGTTTAATTTTACACATCCAGCCTGTGATACCAAATCAGGGTTCCTTTTGGAGATCAACTTGCTTTCTTTCTTATTTTGTGGCTCTCCTTTATCCTACCTCCCTGTCCATCCCTCATATAAAGCATCACATATGTAATCAGACATGCAGGACACTCATGCTGTTCCCATGATCCCCTGTTTTCAAAACTTATGTAAAAAAAGGTCCCTTAGCTTCATTTTAGTAAGTTGTAAACAACTGCCAATTCCTACGTAGATGTTCATTTATGGGAAAACACAAAGGCTTTAACCATTGATCCAAGAAAATAATTGGGTACTGGAGAAATAAATATCTACTAGTAGTTGTGAGATATTGGTTAAATGCCTTTAAAATTATTATGATTTCTGGAAAGGTATTGCTGATGACTCCTCAAATCATATGGAGTAAATAGTTTCAATTATTGAAGGACACCAGTGTGGTTTTGCCTACTATATGTGACTACAGAAATTGGGGGGCTCATTTTTACAAAGTATAATTTAAAAAGATAATGCCTTATGCAGTGTTCTATAATTTACTGTGTCCCCTCACTTACCTTTTCAGATTTGAAACTCAGAAGAATGAGGTAAGTATTCCTGTTTTCTCTATTTAGAGAAAACAGTGAAGCAAATAATCCACCAAAACTAGATGGGGAAGAGACTGGCCCAGGTGCCCCAGTGGTGAGTGATAAAGTGATGCCTTACTGTTCCATTCGTGAGTCTTCCTGGCCAGGCACTTCTTAACCCTTCCAATCTTTTCCTACAACTGAAATTAAACATACAGAAAATATTGCCCTTGGAATCACCAGAACAATTCATGGATTTCCATAGTTATAAGAAATTGTTTTGCTTTGATTTCTACCTGAGACAGGAAAGTGATCACTTTCACACGTATTCAAGATGATTACATCTGGCTTGTATAGAGCAGTTATTATTGTCTTTGTGTTCTATTAAATGGGCCAATGAGAGAGGAATTGAGTTAAATGAAATAATTTAGATTCGCTGTATATGTAAAATTCCGTACTGAAAATCTTGAGAGATTCAAGAGACGAATTTTAAACAAAACTGTAATATCATTTCCTGATTTCAGAATAGAATTTTATAGAAAATAAATTACTTTCCAGGGTCATTTCTCCATCTTAGATAACAGGATCAATGATCATTTATGATGTGAAAATTGGGGTATTTTTAAACCTTCCTTTCTGTGTCCAGTACTTGAGTCAGTATTTCATTATCAATAGCAATTTGTTTCGTTTTTAGAGGGAATTATTGCCAAATGTAGATATTCTCATCTCTTATTCAAATGGCCAGAAATGGAACCTCTTGTTTTGCAAGGGACAGTGAGGCTATTTTGGTCCATATGAAATTATGACAAGCAGAAGGCTTCTGTCTTTACCTACTTTAACTCATTTTAATCACTTTGATGACTGTAAAGTCATTTAAAGCAGTTAACTGCATTGCTCATGGTAAAGGTTTTGCAATTTAATAGCATGATGTATAGGTTGGATTTGTGAAGTAAGGTATTAGAGATTGAAATCAATGGAGATTAACTTTTGTATTAAGGGAAACAAAAGCTTACTGACTCTGAGAAAGAAAAAAAGAAACAAGGCAAATGAACTCTGGTTTATAGATTTGTTTCCAAGATTCAGGCTTTTCCAGAATCTTTTTCTTTTATTTGAGACCAAGTCTTGCTCTGTCACCCAGGCTGGAGTGCAGGGCAGTGGCTCAGTCTCGGCTCACCTCAATCTCCACCTCCTGGGTTCAAGCAATTCTCCTGCCTCAGCCTCCAGAGTACCTGGGATTACAGGCACACGCCACCACTCCGGGCTAAGTTTTGTATTTTTAGTAGAGATGAGGTTTCACCGTGTTGGCTAGGTCGGTCTCGAACTCCTGACCTCAAGCAATCTGCCCGCCTTGGCCTCCCAAAGTGCTGGGATTACAGGTGTGAGCCCCTGACCTCAGAATCTTTTTCTATAGAAAATTAGTGGAGATGAGACCATGTTCTCATCCCTTTAGAAAAGTAATGTGTGTTGAATGTTAAGTTCAATAAAGAAAACTAGCATAGTCAGACATATATAGCTATAATGCTAGTGTCTTCTTAGTTTGAGCTTCAATTAGTTCTACATCATTCCATTAACAATTTTGACATTTCTCAGATTATGGAAACAATATGTAATAATTCAAAAAATTATTAAAAATTTACAAAACAAAACTAACCCAGTATTCCAGCATCAATACATAACCATTTGATGTATTTAGATATTATATGGCTATTCATGGATTATGTGGCTTGTGAAGATTTTATGATACTTCATTACTGAACATTTTACCATTAAATGTTTTCATAAAACATTTTTCAAGATTGGAAACTTGTATTTTTTTACTTTATCATAAATTAATCACTACTTACATTTACTTTATACATTGTTACCAGAAAGGGGGCTGAATCCAGATCCCAAAAGAGGGTTCATGGATCTCATGCAAGAAAGAACTTGGGGAGTCCATAAAGTGAAAGCAAGTTTATTAGAGAAATAAAGAAACAAAAGAATGGCTACTCCATAGGCAGAGCAGCCTGAGGACTATGGGTTGGCTATTTTATGGTTATTTATTGATCATAAGCGAAACAAGGGTGGATTATTAATGAGTTTTCCAGGAAGAGGCTGACAATTCTGGAACTAAGGGTTCCATTTCCATTGACAGCATATAGGGTAACTTCCGGATGTTGCCATGGCATTTATAAACCATTGTGTTCCGTCTCGCTCTGTTGCCCCGGCTGGAGTGCAGTGGCATCACCTCAGCTCACTACAATTTCTGCTTCCCGGGTTCAAGCGATCCTCCTGCCTCAGCCTCCCCGAGTGGCTGGTACTACAGGCGTGTACCACCATGCCAGGCTAACTTTTTTGTATTTTTAGTAGAGACGAGGTTTCGCCATTTTTGCCAGACTGGTCTCAAACTCCTGACCTCAGGTCATCTGCCTGCCTCAGCCTCCCAAAGTGCTGGGATTACAGACATGAGCCACTGTGCCTGACCTTGGCAAGTTTTGATGGGCTTCTTTATATCAGCAAAATCTTTGTGACCTGTATCTTGTACTGACCTTCTATCTCAAACTGTGTCTAAGAATGCCTAAACTCCAGGGAATGCAGCGTAGCAGGTCTCCTTCTCATTTTACCCAGCCCATATTTAAGATGGAGTTGCTCTTGTTCAAACGCCTCTGACACTATTTTAAAAATAATAAAGCAAAATGTAATCACTGTAGAAATTATTAATATATAGAAGAAAATAAAACATATATTTTTCAAAACAGTAAAACTGTTAGCTGTGTGTGTGTGTTGTAGGATATCTAAAGGAAATTTTATCTAAAGTACCAATCCATGGGTCAACATTCCAACGTGAAGCGAGAGATTATGATGCTGAGTTTACAAGGAAGGTGTTCAAAGACCATTACAAGTCTTTTAACCCCTCACCCACACATCAAAGGAAATTAAGTTCAGAGGATGAAGATTAGAGTAGGGTTATTATACTGTTGGAGTTATTAAGGTTAATTAAAAAATATGCAGGTGTGCTATGAGACCTACATTCCCAAATAGAAGAGATAGTTGTTTTTCTTTCCCTTTCTTCTCTTTTGACCTCAAGTCCAAAAGAGAAGTACAATAGTTTTTCTGGTGTCTGACTCCTGCCTAGGAAGTCTAATTCAGAAGGATTGTTTGCTGTAATCCCAGCACTTTGGGAGGCCAAGGTGGGTGGATCACGAGGTCAGGAGATCGAGACCATCCTGGCTAACAAGGTGAAACCTCGTCTCTTCTAAAAATACAAAAAAATTAGCCTGGCGTGGTGGCGGGCACCTGTAGTCTCAGCTACTCAGGAGGCTGAGGCAGGAGAATGGTGTGAACCTGGGAGGCAGAACTTGCAGTGAGCAGAGATCACGCCACTGCACTCCAGCCTGGGGGACAGGGCAAGACGCCGTCTCAAACAAAAAAAAAAAGAAAGATTGTTCAGTTAGGTGTTGATGGTGAAGCAAACAGAGAGATACCTGTTTCAGGACTATCCTTTCAGCTTGTTAGGGAAAAGATTATGTTAACATATATTGGACTGAGTATTATCAAATCTGGTCAATAAAAACATAGGTGCCCAGTAAAATTTGAATTTCAGATAAACAATGAATGTGTTTGTGATAAATATGATGTGTAATAGTTGAGATATAGTTATACTAATAATTATTTCTTGCTCATTTAAATTTCAGATTTAAATATTTGTCCTGAATATATCTGTCAGCTCTACTTAGAGTACATGAGGGCCATTTGTGATAGAGATCCATAGTGAGGTAGTGTTGGAGCCTGTCCAAGGAGGTTCTGAGAGGGATAAACAGACTCAGTAGAAACAAGCTGAAAGCACTACTAGACGTCCATGGGCTGACCCAGGAATAAACAACTCATGAGACTTGACCTGCCATTATCATTAACAAAAGAAAGGTTCTACAAGCCAGGGACATCCAATACTATGGAGAGCAATGGTTGGCTCTCTGGAAATCCCATGAAGATGCTCAGGTCAGTACTCTGTTGTAACTCTGTGAGTAAGAAAAAGGTAGTATGCCATTTTCTTCATAAAACTGATATGATAATAGTACACACAACAAGGATCATGCAGTTTTTCACATTTTAAAATATTAAAAGTTTCATTTCCAGCCCAATTTGTATACAAACATTAAACAAATATATGTATATATGCATACATACATAGCAGTCCTCAAAGACACAAAAGAAATGGTATAGCCATCTGTAAATGAAGATTGTAATCATACTAATGATAGCTTAATCAACTGTTCTTAGGAAATTCCAGGGAAATAAAAATCTCTTTTTAAATAGGTAAACAGAGACACAACACATCAGGTTAATTGGAAATCATAGTTATTTATTCTTCAAACCCTTCTTCAGTTAAAATACCTTAGATAACTCCCTCAATAGTTTCTCAGTTTAGGGCAGACTCACCCACTCTGATTATGTAGTTGGCTGGTGATATTGTCTATACCACTAGAGTAACATTTATTAGGCTGTGTTCATGTTAACTTCATAGGGAGTTTTTAATAGGAGTTAGAAATGGTTATAAAGTTCTGGTGATGTATGATTTTCATTTTAAAGAATAAGTAGGAATTATTCAGGCCAAAATGAAGGGTATTTTAAGTCAAGGGAACAGAAATTGCAGAGACACAGAGTATTAAAGGAAAACATTAATCAGAAAACGTTAAGATGGTCATTGCAGTTGAACCACAGGCTGACTTGCCAGGTAGTTAAGAGATATGAGATAATGTAAGATCACATTGTGGAGAGCTTTTGTGCAGGATGATTACTTGTATATTTAATCTCAAATATGGTGCAGTGCCCAGTGACAGTTTCAGAAGAGTTACATAACCAAATTTGTTTTAACAATATTGCACTGATTATTGCATAGAGAAAAATGCCAGAAATTGATAACTAGTGGCCCTTATTCTTTATTAGGCCATGTTCTGTTTGATCATTGCTGCATTTTAAAAGATAATGTGAATGGGGAAAAGTTGAAAGCATTCCCTCTGAGAACTGGAACAAGACAAGGGTTCCCCACTCTCACCACTCCTCTTCAACATATGCTGGAAGTCCTAGCCAGAGCAATGAGACAAGAGAAAGAAATAAAGGGCATCCAAATGGGTAAAGAGGAAGTAAACTGTCGCTGTTTGCTGATAATATGATTGTTTATCTAGAACACCCTAAAGAGTCCTCCAGAAAGTTCCTAGAACTGATAAAAGAAAAGAATTCAACAAAATTTCCAGATACAAAATTAATGTACAGAAATCAGTAGCTCTTCTATATACCAACAGTGAGCAAGCTAAGAATCAAATCAAAACTTAACTCAAATAAAATACTTAGGAATATACATAACCAAGGAGGTGAAAGACCTCTGCAAGGAAAGCTATAAAACACTTCTGAAAGAAATCATAGATGACACAAACAAATGGAAACACATCCCATGCTCACGGATGGATAGAGTCAATATTGTGAAAATTACAATAGTGCCAAAAGCAATGTACAAATTCAACGCAATTCCCATAAAAATACCACCATCATTCTTCACAGAATTAGAAAAAAAAATCCTAAAATTAATGTGGAACCAAAAAAGAGCCCACATAGCCAACGCAAGACTAAGCAAAAACAAACAAACAAACAAAAAACAAATCCGAAAGCATCACATTACCTGCTCTCAAGCTATACTATAAGGCCATAGTCACCAAAACAGCATGGTACTGGTATAAAAATAGGCACATAGGCCAATGGAACAAAATAGAGAACCGAGAAACAAACCCAAATACTTACAGCCAACTCATCTTTGACAAAGCAAACAAAAACATAAAGTGGGGAAAGGACACTTTTCAACAAATGGTGCTGGGATAATTGGCAACCCACATGTAAGAGAATGAAACTGGATTTTCATCTCTTGACCCTTCTAGACATTGGCTTAGACAAAATCAAACGCAATAAAAACAAAGATAAACAGCTGGGACTTAATTAAAGCAAAGAGCTTTCTTATGGTAAAAGGAGCAGTCAGCAAAGTAAAACAGACAACCCACAGAGTGGGAGAAAATCTTCACAATCTATACATCTGACAAAAAACGTATATCTAGAATCTATAATGAACTCAACATCACTAATAATCAGGGAAATGCAAATCAGAACCACAATGCAATACCACCTTACTCCTACAAGAACGGCCATAATCAAAAAATCATGAAATAATAGATGTTGGTGTGGATGCAGTGAACAGGGAAGACTTCTGCACTTCCAGTGGGAGTGTAAACTAGTGCAAATGCTATGGAAAAAAGTGTGGAGATTCCTTAAAGAACTAAAAGTAGAACTAGTATTTGATCCAACATTCCCACTACTGGGTAGCTACACAGAGGAAAAGAAGTCACTATATGAAAAAGATACTTGCACACGCACGTTTATGGCACCACAATTCGCAATTGCAAAATTGTGGAACCAGCCCAAATGCCAATCAATCAACAAGTGGATAAAGAAACTATGGTAAATATATACAATGGAATACTACTCAGTCATAAAAAGGAATGAATTAATGGCATTTGCGGCGACTTGGACAAGACTGGAAACTATTATTCTAAGTGAAGTAACTCTGGAATGGAAAACCAAACATCGTATGTTCTCACTCATAAGTGGGAGCTAAATTATGAGGATGCAAAGGCATAAAAATGACACAATGGACTTTGGGGACTAAGGGGGAAAAGGGTGGGAAGAGGGTGAGGGATAAAAGACTACAAATTGGGTGCAGTGTATACTCTCGGGTGATGGGGGCACCAAAATCTCACAAATCACCACTAAAGGACTTACTCATGTAACCAAACACCATTTGTTCGCCAATAACCTATAGAAATAAAAATAAAAAATAAAAAAGAGAAGATAATGTGACTAGACAGTGACTCTGATTGAGCACAACATAAGCCCTTTAGGAAATGCTTGCATCGTTAGGCACTTCCGTTACCTGCTGGCCCCTAAAGACTTCTAAGATTGTGACCCTTAGTACAGATGAACTGAAGTGATGAAGAGACTAGTTCAGAGCTCAGCTCCATCATTTAATGGGTAGTGTTACCTTCACAGTTTCTTCATTTGAAAATGGAAGTAAAAATATTGCGTATCTCATGGGATTGCTTTGAGGATTAAACGATTTAACGCATCTAAATAACTTAGCACAGAGCTTGGCATATAATAAGTGCTTAATAAATATTAACTATTGTACTTAACATGATGATATCAGTTAGGGAGCTTGAGAAGAATCCATGTCAGAGATAACTCAATGCTTGGACGAAAACAGAGAGGAGGTGAAGCAGATTAGTTGTGGAGATACTTCTAAAATTATCATCGATAGAATTCTAAGTAGTTGTAGAGATACTTCTAAAATTATCATCGATAGAATTCTAATTAGATACAAAGTTATGCAAAAGCAAAAAAATTGAGGTTTAAATTGAATTTATGATCTAATGACAACAATGGTGGATTGATAATCAGACAGGCTGATATTTTCTAGAAAAGGACCTTCCTGTGCACCATCAAATTATAGTAGATAAGCATCTGTACCTCTGTTTTTACACAGGCTCTCTGTGTGTGATATAATGAGCCACCTCTCTGGCTATGCAGGTTACAGATGTATTTATGCTGAAATCTTTTAGGTTCATATGTTCATCTTGGAAATATAATGTTGTAGAACCTCACATTATGGATCCAAACCATAGACACCTTGGCCACGTTTCAGAACTGTGTTCAGGCATGCTCAGCTGCCTTTTCATTTACTTTTATAAAATGTCATTGAAATCGGAAGAAGATGACAGAGGGTTCTATACTTTAGAAGTGGGAAAAAGTTAGCATTTTCTGCTACTTATGTCTTCAATTAAATTTGTTGTTTTGGGGCAAACTCAAACTAAACAAAAGCGACATCTCTGGTATAGACCTTATCTCCCAAATGCTATTATGGTGCTAATGATGTTGACTACTGGGGAGTAAAAAGTGGTGAGACATGGACCTTCCAGGTCTGCAGATGCTATTGTTTGCCTACAGGTTCCATCAGTTGTCTTTTGAGAAGTATAGCATAATTAATCTCCATTTTCTATTTTCCTTATGAAATGTGAGGGTGTTAAAAAGAATTTCATGACCTAGATACCCATTAAATTGGCACAGAACTCCCACTCTTATCCTATGCATAGGGAAAAACAAATAGTGTTGAATTTGGTCCTATTCTGAGATGTAGAAAAGGAAAGTAACTGCTGTCATTTTGATGTTCCTGTACAATTTCTAAGTGCACAGAGTAGAAGTGGAGGAAAAAGCTGCACATAATGATGGATTAATAATAATGTTTTGGGCTGGGTGCCCTGGCGCATGCTTGTAATCCCAGCACTGTGGGAGGCCAAGGTGGGTAAATCATCGCAGGTTAGGAGTTCAAGACCAGCATGGCCAACATGATTAAACCCTGTCTCTTCTAAAAATACAAAAATCAGCTGGGCGTGGTGGCACATGCCTGTAATCCCAGCTACTTCAGAGGCTAAGGCAGGTGAATCACTTAAACATGGAAGGCAGAGTTTGCAGCGAGCCAAGATCGCGCCACTGCACTCCAGCCTGGGCAACAAAGTGAGACTCTATCTCAAAAATAATAATAATAATAATAATAATAATAACGTTTTGATTCCCCATGCAATAACTTTTGTATGCACATCCCCAGACATTGTTGTATTAATCAATCATTTTAAGGTAAAGATGAATAATTTGAGTAAGAGATTACAAGATTTAGAGAGTTACCCAGTTAGGAAAAATATCAGCTTTAAGATGGGAAGATATTTTGGAAATTATAATTTACTCAAATGTCTGAATAAATCTTAGCATAAACTATAACAGGAAATCTTTATATTTGTTAATACTTGTATAAGAAAGAACAAGTATCCATTGCCTGAGATCAATCTTTATAATAATTGAAGAACATAAAGCTAAGAAATGAGAATTATTTCCTCAATTACATG